AAGTATAGATCACTCAGCGTTTACCAAGCCCTTCTGGGATACGCCACATATACCACTTCCAATTAGACCCGAAGTGGCAGTTGAATGGGATCAGACCTAGTGACCTACAAAATGAATTGCGTGGAATAGCCTGGACGTCGCAATCAAATAGCGATGGTGTATGAAACACTTGCTCGGTCTGGCCCAAATTCAATCTCGTACTTGATCTTTGGACCGGGTTCGGTGAAAATATCGGAAACTGTGAGGAAAAAGAGTTTCGGGCGGTGTAGGGAGCCTTATTTTCATCTTTGAGTTGAGCTTATAGGAAACATGGTGAACAGTGGTCAAGAAAGTCCTCGACCATGGCAGTGAGAATAGTGTCGAGAGTGAATGTACGCGCGGAGAGCACAGACGGCTCGCGCGTGGCGAGAGTGAATGTCCGCGCGGGAGAGCGTGACTGAACAGGCGAAAATCCTCGACGAGTCGTCGAAAAATCCTCGACAGATATTCACCCTGCCAGGAAACCAGTTCAGGACGTGGTATGCTTTCTCACAGTATTTTCTCATGTGTTATGGTAGTACTTGCTTATAAATGGAAATGGGGTTCTTTTGAAAAGCCGTGGGATTCCCAAGAGTGAGTGTAAAGAACGGTGCAACTCCTCGTAATGATAAATTTTTGCATTTCTCCGATTTTTGTGCTCCTCTATATCCGAACTCTTCCTCTTAACAAAATCTTCGGAATTGAAGAAACTTCAAGGTTTTGGAGGAAAATCCTCTCTATTATTACCAATCGCAAAACTGTTAATAGCGAGGCGAACCGTTTGTTTCATACATCTGCCCTTAAGAGCTTTGGAGGAGGGGGTGATCTACCCTGTTTTGAAATGCGCCACACCTTCTACTTCCATTCAGAATCGTAGGGGAAATTTTAATGCACATAATTTGACCTGTACAATGACTTTCCGGGGCTAGCCGATGTACATTGCAGTACCTTTCATTTTTCTAGACAGGTCAAGCATCACTCAGGTGATCCCGAAGAGAGGAAAGGCCTGGTTTTCCTGAAGACGACGCACGGAGCAGTAGGCGCGTGGCAAGTCAACGCCACTTCCTTCTACCCACCAAATTCCCTCCTGAAGCTATTTTTGTTAGCCCAAGGAAAAAACATAATAAAATTCACTAGCAAAATTTTCATTTATCAGTTATTGTGTCGTCTCAGCAGCTGCCTATTGAACTTAATTAATCCAATCTGTCTCTGAAACTTATATATTCCTGTCTTAAACACAGCACGTGTGAGGTTTTGTTGCATTCGGTGATCTTTAGATCTTCCCAAAATCACTTTTGACTTCATGGCGTCTCGGCAATTTTGTGAATTATTTTTGATAATTTTGATCAAAAGACAACAAAATCTTGCATCTGTCACAGTCTCAATCGATTTTCTTCTTGCATACTAGCAGAAAGATTATCAATGCCCCAGAATTACTAGTTAAAGGCTTATATGGCCAAGAGAAGTCAGCCGTCCGATGAAACGATTGTGTAGGAGGTATAATTAAGTACGAAGCAATAAAATAAGGTAAATGCGTTGAAAGTAAGCGGAAATTGGACCTCGTTTTTTCTCAAGTTGAATTCGACACTTAGAACGACTACATCGTGCCTGAGTCATTATTGTCACACACCCGCTTCCTGCCTCTCTACTAAAGAACCGAGTGGGGTACGCATGGTGAAGGGCCAGTGGCTGATAGCAATTGTTGGGCTGGAATACAAGAAGACGGCGTCGTCCCGAAGAAAAAAGGCGAAATCTCTGCAACGGTTATCTACAAAGATGATGTGCCCTCCATCCGCTCAAGCGACAATTTGTCGCTCTTAGAGGCACCAGAATTCTTTTAGACAAGATACTTTCTTTAAAGGATAAAGGATAAAGCATTTGCCGTTGATCAATCCCTTTTGGGATGCGGCACGCATTCTACTTCCATTTGTACATTCGCAGTGGCGTTTGAATGCGATGTGGCCTATACAATGACTTGCGGGGCCAGCCGATGTACAAGTCAGTGTTTTTATCCTCCCAGACAAGTCTGGTACCAATTAACCGACCCCGGAGGGATGGAAGGCTTGGTTGGCCCGGGCGACTCACGACCCAGGATTTGATCCCGGACCGCTCGCGTGGTGAGCGCGCCACTTGTCACTGCACCACTTCCGCCCTGCCCTTTTTTAAAACAAAAAATAATAATAACCTGCTTCCTGACCTCACAGCATCCGAAACATAAGATGCTCATCGAATTATTTAGAAACATGCGTGAAAGGATACACTTCTAGCAGCTTTGGGTCCAGAACTCCAAATACATTTGCCACATACCGAATCCTGCTAACTTCAAAAGCTGAGTTACAAAAAACACGGAGTTAGCCATCCGCAACAAGAGGGGCTGTCGGGGCGAGGGGTTGTGCCCTAGAAATATGCCTTCTTTGCACACATGTAATTCTCATTCTGGAACAAATACCAAGCTTAATGTTTCAAAATGTTCGAAATATTGTGGGCTCTTTGAAGCAACAGTTCAGGAACGCTTTCGCGGGAAAAAAACCACCAATAATATTGGCCAGTTGTAGATGAAAACCAGACGAATAATGTATGAAAAACTGGAAAAAAACGTCGGGGAGGGTCTTAGACAGGTACTCTCCCTCTGCCGCTCAGCAATGGATAAAGACGCACGTTGGACGAGTTGTCTGAACGTGCCCGCTGTAAACGCGCTCCATTTTTCAATCAATTTTCCCTGTGGTCCCAAAACGAGCACGATTGCCGACGCGTCCAATGACGGCCGGCAAGGGGGCGGGATTGGGGAAATCCCCAAGAACACCCATGTTTGAGGGACTTTCCACCCTGTTTTTGAGTTTCTGAGGTAAGTTCGTTTATTATTTCCACTGCATATGTTCTTCACTAGGCTCGTGTATCCCTCAGTAGTAGTGGCATTGAAATTTTCGGACCCTCCCTGAACTGTTGCTTTAAACAGAGCGTAGCACACGCGCTGCGACTCGTCCTTTGTCGCGTCTGC